CTCTTCTGATGATACTTTAATGCTCCTATGGCCATACCAGTCAGTCAGGACTGGCTAGAAGTGGTCCCTGGAAGAGGGAATAATGTGAGCTTGCATGGGAAAAGGTGCTATTTGCCATGCAAGGCATTAAACAGCAGGAGTTTGGACAGCACAGGACATTGTGGTCAGCTGGTGATGGTCCTCTGGACTCTGGCCAGGTTAGAAAATGATACTTAGAGGCAGGATTTCATCCTGGCACTTGGGCAGCATCTTTGAGAGCCCAGGCCCTTTGCATATCAGTACGAAACAAATGTGTAACTAAACCATGCTGCTTTTCTGTTACACATGTACTGCTCTCTCCTTATTAGATTGGCTTCTTCTCTTTTTTTTTTCCCCTTTATTTTCTTTTTTCTGACAAAATGTTCTTGCATACCTTTCTTTAATAAACATTGACTACTAGGGTCATGATGCTCTGGCTCCAAGTACTGGTCAGCCACAGAGAAACCTGTTTGGCTCAGGCAAATGGCTCTTTGCAGTATTTCCATGTTCTGAGGCTTTCCAGTATAGGTACAAGCTCCAGACAATGACTGTTGAGCAATGCTGCAAAATCTGGGGCCCAGATCTCTCCCAAGAACTACTCCACCCATGCCAACAGCACAGTAGTCATATCAGGTATGAATTCACATTATCATTTAAGCAAAAGTATACACAGGCTCTCTCTGTTATGCTCTGAAATATGTCAATACAACTTAATATCTGAGGGCTGAAATACACTGAGTTGCTAAGACAAACATTTGGTATCAGTTTTTGAAATTTCACTGAAACTGTTGACCCTCATGCTCATGGCAGCACTGCTCAGAAGTTCACTAGCTGGGATGGGTTTAACCTGACACGCCGATTTTGGCTTTTGCAGTCAATATTACAAATACACTCATCACACTGCAGCCATGTCCTCCACTCAGCACACTGCAAAGTTATCTACTCCTGCTGAACACAGCTTCTTTCAGCCTATTTGTTATGCTCAGGGGATGGTGACCGGACCTCCATGGAACACCGTGGGGTTGTGCTCCTTCCTGGGAAGCTCTGACAGGACGAGTCCAGGCTGCAGGGGAAATGGTTTGCCCTTCACAGTCACCTTTGCCACTTCCAGCTTAGCCTGATGGACTCTCAGGGACATGCAGCTGAAGTTCAAGGCCTGAAATACCTGCTTCCACAGGCGGGGAAGCCCACAGTCTGACCTTTGTTTAGAAAGCAGTTTTTTGTGGATGTCAGCTTCATGTAAAAGAACAAGCCTTTTACTCCTTCATGTAAAAGAACAAGTCAGGGTATAAGAGTAAGGTCAAGAAGATGTAAAAATATTTGTATACAAGCATTTCTGATGTCTGTGTGTGGTGCTGAGGAGCCTGTGGGTGTTGCTGGTTAACCTGGAGTTTACAGGAATCACAGAAACGAGTGTCAGAAACCTGGGGCTAGCCTGGCTGAACCCCCAGGACTGCTCCAGCATTCATTCCTTGGCTGTACTTGTTTAGGCAAACCAGACAAAAAGTACCTGATTTAGTCTGAAGAGGGAAGTTGGAGTACAAGGTAAACATGTATGGGCAGCACTCTTGAGCAGCTTGACTTTCAAGTTTCCTGAGAACAGTCATGCCCACAGAGTTGGTAATGAGAAGGAATTTGTTTGCTGAAGGATCTCTGAGGCTCTGTGCTTCTTTTCCAGGTGGGGGCATTCAGACAATTGATGAATGAAGCATTTTCTGTCTGGGACAGTAAATATTTAACTGGAAAGTTTAAAAAGATCCATGCTTCTGAGTTTTCAAGGCCTCCTCAAAGCGTCTTTCCTGCAGTCACAAAACAAAAAGCACAGAAAAGAGGGCAGAGCCTAAGAGACAGGGAAATCAGAAAAGCTGTGTCCCTTTGTGGTGCACGGTAATCCTGCATCACCTTCACTACAGCATGTGCAAGAAACCTGCAGCACCTGCCTCTGACATCTGCAACACGCTGCAGAGCATGTCTGCCTCCCTATTCAGTTTTATTCAAGCACCCCCAAAATCCCATTTGTCACATTAGATCTAATCACTGAAGGTTCAGTGCTTTTCTTTCCTTGGACAGTCAAGCAACACAAAATGTGGCCTGCCTAGAAAAGTGAAGAGAAAGGCCAGGTTTTCACATGAAAATGTCTTTCTCAGGTGTTCCCACTGTTTGGTCTGGCAGCTTTTGGACATGAGACTGGCATCAGCAAGTACCTGGAACTTTTTGGCGTGCAGTCTTTAGTGGCCTGATAGCCAGGCCATCAGGATGCATCAGGTTGGTTTGTTATAACATCCTAGCAGGGAGAACTGTGCCCTTTGGAGGTTTGATCCATGTGGCAGCAGGGTTTAGTGATTTGAGCAGAAACGAGTTGCCTTCAAGCATCAAAACCAGCTGAATCCTCCCTTTCACTAACTAGGTTTTATTTTGCGGTTCATTCTGGAAAAGTAGCTGCTGATCAACAGTCTTAACAGTTGTTCTGAATTGATGTGTCTCACATTGTATCCTGTGATGTTACTGACACAGGCTGTGCGTGCTTAAGGCCACAGCACATTTTGTAGTCAAGCACAGTGGAAAAGAGAAGACCCTGAGGTCAGTGTGCCACTCATTCCAGCCAACTCAAGGGCCTTCACGTCTCCAGCAGGATGCACCCATGTCACCGGTGAAATGCCTGCCTAGCTGAGCTATGACAAGGAGGCTTGAATCCACACTTAACCACTCAACAGCTCACACAAGTGGAGACTGGAAAGAAGATCTGCTGGGGAAAGAGTGTTCTTAAGGGAGGTAACGCAGGCTGTTGACTTGAGAGCAGTGCATCTCTTCAGAACTAAGCACCAGCAAGAGGAGCGTGGGAAGGACAGAAATAAAGGACCAAAGAGATCTACCAGGAGTTTAGGTGGGTTTTCTCTTGGGACTGGCATTTCTCGGCAGCACATCTCCAGTGGCCTTGATGGTGGGGTGTTGGCTGGGTCTCTGGGTTCTTTTCTGCAGGGTGATTCACTTTCTTGTTCAAAGTGGTCAGAAGTAATCCTTTTGTACCTGAGCGGCCCATGATGGGAGAGACATTTAGGAGAAAGCTACACCAGGAAGAGGTGGCAAAAATAAAAGAAGAGGAAAATACTTTGATGCAACAAGAGGGTATGCACAGCTTAATAAACAGTAAGGGGTGGAAGGGTGCTGTTCTTGTTCAGCCTGGAGAAGAGAAGGTCAGGAGGGTACCCAGTTTCTGTAATTCATTCCACTCCCTTGCAGGGTTACATAGGAGAGACGCAGACTATCCTTGCAGGTTCACAGGGAAAAGGCAAGAGGGAGTGGACACAGGTCACAACAGGGAAAATTCTGGTTGGACATATGAAAAAAACCTCCTTTTACAGGAGTGGTGCAGGTCTGGGACAGGCACCAGAGAAATGGTGAGATCTCTGTCCTTGGAGAGTCTCCAAACAGACAGGGTAAGGCCCTGACCTAGTTTTCGTGAGCCCTGCTTTGATCAGGTAGGTGGGCTTAAGACCACCAGATGTAAATCTTTCTGTGATTCTTTGAGGAACTCCACAGTGACCCTTCTGAGACATCTTTCAACACCACGAGCTGTAGCAACAGTAAGTTGTAGAGGTGCCTGTGTGAGGATAGAGCCTGGGCCTTGGGGTGATGGAGGGATGTGCACATGCCTCCTGCTGAGAAGTGCCAAACACTCCTCCTTTGCTGTCCTTCCCATCACCCCCTGGTGGCTGTTACCTCAGAAAAGCTAAACCTTACACCACATGTGCCTCGTGGCCACACGTAAAAAGTTATGTCATGGCACACTACTGGTGTTTGATTTCTGTACAGCAAAGCCTGTCATGTCACTGATCTTTGGAGGAACAGCCATGACACGGCCAAAATAGCCTTAGACCTCAGCTGCTGGCAATTTCTCTATGCTCTGCAGCAGGTGGGAAGGGGCATGAAGGACACAGAGAAACAAGGGTTCTGCAGAGCAGGAAAGGCAGCAATGAAGCTGGTGAGCAGGGCTCAGCTAGAAGTTTCCACTGCCTTGGAAAGGATCTGCTGAGTTTGCAGTGGGATGCCGCACTAAAGGCTGCATGGGGAGTGAAAATCAGGAAACCCAGGCAGGTTTTGTCTCTGCTGCAGAGAGCACAGATAGGAGGTGTTGTCTGAGTTAACTGGCTGAATGTGAAGCCTTGTGGTAGGCATGTGCTTCTACTCCTCCACTGTTTGATAAGGCCTTGAGCCCACAGACTGCTCCAGAGCAGAGGTGACCACCTCCTGGGCTTATATGGTGTGAGAGGCACTGGCAGAGGGGCCTGGCTGAAGAGGGAACTGTGTGCAGTCCTTTTTCCTGGAAGAGAATCCAAGATGGGAAGAAGATAGGGCTTTAGCAGCAGATAAGCCAGCGATACCTTCGCCACATGCCTCCAGAAGGATGGAGGCAAGCAGACAAGTGGAAGTGAGAGATCAGGCATGGCTGGGATAGCATAGGTAGGCTGTGGAGGCTTATGGAGATGGTCTGGAAGTAATCAGAGCTGTCACTGGCAGTGTATTTCTCAATACATTTGTCTTTCATGCCTGTGAGTCACCAGCAAGCCGGAGGAACAAGAATCCCCCCACGCAGAACTGCGTGTGAGCTGTCCCTGTGAAACTGTGGAGCACAGTGCCATTGGGATGTCATATGGCAATACCTGGTTGCAAGTAGCTCTGTCCACTGGGAATTGGCTTTCCATGAGTGTGTAAGCCTGAATTTGAGCTTCAGTGGAAGATCTCTTTCTTCATTACTCTTTAAACATTTGTCTTTCAACTGTAAAGGGTTTTTAACAAATCCTGCACAAAATTTCTCAACTATTTTTAACAAAAAACCCCACGCACCTAAGTTTACCACCTTTCAACAGAGGATTTGACATTTTTTAGAGGAACACCCCTCTCAACAAAGTGATGGGTTGCTCCACTTCTCCCTGAGCCTTTCCTAGAGCTCTCTAAATGTCTCTTCTACTCCCTTTTCCTAGGGAGAGAAGCCAAGCAAAGGTGCAGGATGTTGTGCTGAAACATGTTCTAATCTCAACCCCATGAGACAAAAACCAGAAGGAAGGAGTTTGGATCATTTTCCTGGGGGCAGCAGACACAGGTGATACTGGAGGAGAATGGGGCATCTGGAGACCTTGCCAGGAAGGCTCACCACATGCTGCCTTGCAGCAGAGCCTTCTGCTCCCCAGGATTTCTCCCCTCACAACCAAAATGCACCAGAGATGATGATGACGACCTAAATACGCTGCATGTGTTTGAGGCCTGCTCTCAAGCTCCTTCCTCTTTTCTCCAGCAAATGTCATCTGAGCTTCGGGGCCTCTCTCCTTCTAAAGCCCAGAGAGCCTTTGCCAGTCATCCTTATGTAAATTGAAAATTTATGCACACACCCCCATCCATGTGCTGTCATCCCTTCTGCTTGCTCATAAACTCTCTGTCAGACATCTCAGTTTTTCCAGTCAAGGCCTCTGTTTCCTAATGCAAACTTTTCCAGACAAATTTTGAGGATACGTGTATCTGTCTATTAAATCTAGGGCTAACAAGGTGGAGGTTGGCACCAGTCTTTTTCCGTTCTCCTAAGTGCCTCCCAAATTATATCCCATGGCTGTTCCCCAATATAGTGCCCTTAGGACAGTAGAATGGGGGCTCTATGCATGCACTGCAACCCGATCACCTTTCAAACTAAACTCTGTCTTAGGAGGAAAGAAAATGGAAGCTATAATTAAGTGTCAATACCCCCCCTTTGTCAGAGTGGACTAACTCTGCTAACAAGGTTCTATTTGATATCTCTTGCATCATGACCCATGGCATTTTACTCACATAAACTGAGCCAAGCAACTGCTATCTGAGGTTATTCCCATAGCTTACTCCTCAGAGGGGTATGGGTTCCCCATCCTTTGAAAAGAAATTGCAGGAACCATAGATTCCATAGTGCAGCAAAGGGGGCCAGGAGATCACATGTGAAGACCTACAACAACTGGTGATGTATGAACCACCCCAAAAAGTGCTGAAGCATATTGACTGTGCAAGGGAGCCAGTGATGGAGGAAGCAGCACTAAGCTTTGTCTCCTTTGTGCTTGGCTTCCATTTGAAATCTGCAGCAGCCATGCAGAAAAACAGGGAAATGTGACCAACCCTAATTTACACCCATGAGTGATCCTGCATTCTCGTCAGTCCTGCCCAAACTTCAGCTAAAGGCACAACATAAACAGGAGGATAGTAATTATAGCAGCCAAATGGCTCTGCCAGTCCACTTAATCTCATTTTAGGTGCCTAATTAATATCCCTTGAAGGTGACGGTCTGTGATGTACTTGTCACATGGATTAAAAAGCAAGCAACTGATAAAAAATAACTCTCTGTGGAAAGTCCTGTTTCTGACTATTCCTGGCACAGATCCAGCAGACATCTGTTCTTGGCACACCGCTCCAAAGTAAAGTAGCCAAAGATCTAGGAGAAGATGCTGTTTCTGGTGAAGTTTGCAGCTGATGGAGACACAAGTGGTGTGGTACCTATGCAAACACACCATGTTGTGCCACACTTCCCACACATGGAGGATGCACAACAATTTTTGGAAAGTGGGGACTCACTGAAATGCATAAGAAGGACTCAGTGAAAACACCCCAGCAGTCCACAGGCGAGCCATGGGAGTGGGTGGTCCTCTCTGTGCAGCTCTAAATTAAGAGAGTGTCATGGTTTGGCTCTCTGGTACAGATAAGGTAACCACTTGTACCAACAGTACAATGGTGGTGGATTGCAAACAGAAACTGCATCCCTCCACAGTTCGAAGAAATTAGCAATTAAAGGGTTTTTAAAGAACAATTTCTACAACACTCTGCCTGAGTGGTGGTGCACCCATCTCATCCTGTTTTTCCTGAACTCCATTCTTCCTGTGAAGAGAACACTTATTCACAGCATGCAAATGCCTGGGGAGGGCAAGTTTCTGACTGTGTGTGGCAGTAGGTGAGCCAGAGTGTTCGTTCCACTTCACGTGGACCAAAAGGAAACCTTCCTCTTTTTTCCTTTCAGATGGTTTTCACTAATTAAAAAAAAAAACCAAAAAAAACCCAAAAAACCCCAAAACCCAACCAACAGACAAACAAAAAAAACCACAACAGGTCAGGGTCAGTTTCAAACTGGAAGCTCCTCATGAAACAAGAAAGCAAAGGAATTAATTTGGAAAATGTCAAAATGTGTTGTTCCTGCTTTCAGGAACTTTTACTCCCCTATTTTCAATTATAGACGTTTGTCGGTTTGGATCAAATTCCGGAAGTAATTTAGTTTGCCACCAAAGCACACCTTTACTGGCCAAGGTGCGTGCCTGGAAACTCCAGCTGTGGTGCCGACCCTGCTTGCCGGTCATCATGGTGCTCCTGTGGGGGTTTGTTTATAAACATCACTGTATGAGAACTACCTGGGCAAGTTTCAACTGTGGTCCAGGACACCTTTACCAAATCCATCTCCTTCAGCTATAGCAGATCTTTCAAAGGGAGGAAGCATGAATCTTAAGGGTACGTAATTCAATTACTGATGAACTAGTAACCAAGACATCCCTGGTCTGATTCCTTGCTGACAGACTTCTCTTTCAAAAATGTAAGAAATCCCTAAGCAAACAGTGCAGAGCTGTCATCAAATTTGGAGATGTGTAGCTTTGAACGTTTAAGGATTTGGGGTTTTTCTGTGCACAAAGGCTGTAATGAGTCACTTAAGTCTCCAGTACCAGAGTCAAATCAGGGTAGCACTTAACAGCAAAGCAAAGGTTCCACCAGCACTGGTGTTTGACGTGGTAACTCCCCTGCAAATTGGCCAGGCTGCCAATCAGATCCCCCTGATCTCACAAGAAAGGAATGTGAGGACACCAGAAGCAACCACCTACCTAGTGGTTCCTGGGCAGGGATTGCACATGAGCCCAGCCCCGAACCCCCTTTTCTCTGCAGTGGCTGGTGTCCAGGGCTCAGGCTCACCCTGGGCACATGGAGTTAAAAACCCCTGTCTTCAGGATCCTTTATGCAGTCTGTTGAGCTGAGGGCATAGATTCCAACAGCTGGGATTCTAATGTCATCCTTTCCCCTGTGGCTGGGGACCTGGAGAGATGATCTGCTCCACAGAAGACTGTTAAACAGCAGTACCAGACTCATCACTGGGATTTTCTCCATCTCCAGAATCACAGGCACATGATAAACAGCAGCCTCTATCTTGCTGGTCTGCTTTTATAATGATTTGAGTGCTTGCCTTCTCCAGGGAGAGCTGATTGCCAGCACAGATAGCAAGTATTCCATACTTATTCCATTCAAAACACGGCAATTGGGGTTTGGTCCATATGGATCCTAGTGGGTATGCTCAGAGAGGGCCTTTTACCTGTAACTGGGTTTCTTCATGCTGTCGCAGCAGAGACTGACATGCAGCTGATCGTGGTTGCTCACATCTGTGAGCTTTGAGGAGAGACCAAACTGCTAAGGACATGTCAGGGGTGAACCTTGCTCTGTAGAGAATTGCTGAACTGTATGAAGAAAACCTAGCATTCCTGTTTCCACAGGTAGAAAAGATCATCTGCCATCAGGAAAATAGCATATTTTTACGTGAAAAGAAAACAAATATGCAGGCAGAGCATTCACTCAGCTACTTCCTGGTCCTGTTAACATTTTTTGTCACAAAATCACAGATTATTTATGTGGGAAGTAATTGCCAGAGATCTTTGGTCCAACCTCCTGCTAGCTCCAAAGAGAACAGGTTGCCCCTCACCTTGCCCTTGCAGAGTCTGTCGATGCCCTTCAGCTGTGGCAGTGAGAGCCTGTCATCCAAACCCGTCCGTGCCTTGGCCCTGAGATTGCCTGTCTGACTGTGGCAGCACTGGATGCTGGGGCATGGCTTGGGTTGGGACTCTGGTTTGCCCAGTGCTACCCAGTGCTCTGCCTGACTCGGTCCTGCTGTCAGTGCCCGCGAAGAGCCTGCAGCTGGTGGCTCTAGGGCTCCTCAGAGCTCAAAGGAGCTTCCAAAACTGAACCTGTGGTCTGATTCTGGGTGAGAAGGAGGATCCCTGAATGGTATCCATGTGGAGCTTCAAGCACTGCACTCACTGGTGAGGCCTCCCAGGGCTGCTTCTCGGACACTCTGTTTCCAGTGGTGTTGCTGGAATTCAGAATAGATAAGTGGAGAGAACATGACAATCAGTAGCTTTTTGAATTAAAATAGAGGAAAGGAACAGCCCTGTTTCACTGCTAAGGCCTTGTTTCACTTTTAATTTGGTATGATCAGCTCCTGTACAGAGCTGTTGACAATACTGATGACGTACATGATTAATTATTAAAACAATAATTAAGAGGCTGAGCTGTGAGATAAGACACCTCTGTCCAGGGTACAAACACAGCAGAGAAAGGTGGAACAAGCACAGGGCACAAGTTGCTGGGGAGACAGCAGCAAGACATCTTTGCTCACCTGCTAAGTCTAAATAATTGTCTTCAGGTTTTCACAGGTACTTCAGAAAGGAAAACTTTAAAGAGAAAATTTAGGAGAAATTTAAGGAGAAATTTCAGGAGGGGATTGATAACCTGTGAATAAAGCATTGAGAAAGGGAAATGATTTTTAACCAGTGGAACAGACAAGAGATGTGGAAAATCTTTGTTTCTTTTTATCTTTTTCTCCTAACAGGAAAGCTTATTTCAGGTTAATGCTGTCAGACATTTTAGAGTCTGTATAGGAAAACTACATATACAGTTGTGAGCATGACTGTGGGAAGATCCTGCAAGGTTGGCTGGTTGCTTTTAAGGGTAGGACTTTAATTTTATACCTTGTGAATATCACAAAGTTGATTGAAGCCAAAATTCACAGATGGAAGGGAAAAAGACAGCAGCCTCCTCTTAAGAGGGAGGATTATTCTGTCACACAGGACACAATAGAGACCTCTTCTTTTACTACTTTAACAAGTTTTGCTTCATGCTGGCATTCCTGCTTCAGAAAGGCACTGTCATGGGAAACGGATTCTGCCTGGAGACGAGACATTGTTCAGGATATCCCTTCCACCTCCGCGTGCTATTCAGCATTAACACAGCCGTGAGCAAAACCCTG